TTCACTGGTCTCTGACCGGTTGATGACCTGCTATTTCAAGCTATTTTCTTATCTTTGCAAATCATTATATCATAAATCTCATCTTTCACAAAGATAATATTTTGCAAAGATAAGAAAATAACTTGGAATAGTAGGTCATTAACCAACCAGGGACCAATTAATGAAGATGAGGTGCAAAGGTTGGATTATTCATGAATAATCAAAAGGTGAGATTATTGAAAGAAGACCGCTGAAAGGTTGGATTATTAGTTTTAATTTTCCCTAATATTTATGGGAAAAATAATAAAAATACCCCAAACTTTGAAAGAGTGTGAGATAAGCACCCCAAACTTGCATATGTAATTTAAATACCCCAAACTTTATATAAAAAGTTATTTTCACACCATTGTCATGTATTATTTATTTCAAAAATGTAATTCGATGGAGTTAATTGCATAATTGAAAATAGCAAATTAAAAATGTTGCAATTATATGGATTGTGGAATTATATGGGGGTAACATTATTTATTTCGCAATGGAAGTTAGAATGTTAATTGTGTCTTCAAGAACTCTAAAATATTTTAAAATTTGCAATTAACACCATAAGTTTACATTTTTGAAAGAAATAATATTTGAGTATGGTGTTAAAATAATTTTTTATATAAAATTTGGGATATTTAAATTACATATGCAAGTTTGGGGTGTTCATCTCACACCCCTTCAAAGTTTGATGTATTTTTATTATTTTTCCCAATATTTATTGATAGGAGCAACTTTTAACCCAATAATAATGGGCGGACAGATTATTGAGGCTGGCCTAGCGACCATGACTCCATGAGGCCATGATACGCTCGCTTTACCTTAAAAGGTTCAAATATGGGCTAGCGACCCATGATTCCTGTTTAAATACTTCGTATATTTTTCCAGCATGCTTTACCTTAAAAGGTTTAAACAAATTATAATTATAATAATCACAATAAGTTGCATAATAAAATTGGTGCAATTCAGCTATCAAAAAATATTTGGTGCAATTCAGTGTAAAATTAGATTCAATCGTATTTATGTTTAACCAAGATTTTGATATAAGAAGATGGACACATGAATCTATGGCGTGGAGGGTGGAAGTGAGGATACTCAGGATAGAGTTACTATAGTTCTAAGATTTTAATATAAAAATTTAATTTTGAAAAAAAAAAGGAAAATTAACGTATAAAATTTTTAAAAAATGGGACAATTGTTGTAGGACAAAACGAAAAAGAAAGGATGAGACAATCTTTGTGCGATGAAGAGTATAAATATTTCTTATATTTAATTCTATTATCTTCGGAGTATATTTTAATGGAAAGTATGTGTACATTGTTGCATCAGAGTACTATACTGGAAAAGCTTGAATACTACATAGTGATTCTCATTTAGTAAAGACATACTAAAGTTGGAGAATTGCATGAATAATGTTACTGAGATATTTGGGAGATGAATTTATGAAGGTTGAAGCTCATTATCATTCTGTTTTACCATCAATAAATTTTTATCGTTTTCTCCATAAACCACTGTAAAAAAATTTACTCTACTATCCTCAGATAACAATAAAAATACATCAATTACCAAAATTTACTATACACTACAATAATATTTACTTATAATAAAAATTACTTTTGGGATTAAATTCAAAATATTATATACATAAATTCTATTAATTTTACACAAAGGGGTTGTCCCCAACATAAAATTTGAAGGATTTTTGAAGACTTAATAGAGAAAATGGGTGTTAATTGAAATCCACAATTTTTGAACGGAGTTTTATAAAATCCGTGAGTGTATGAATTTCTGAAAGTTGTTGGCCGAATTTTGAGAAACATGTATGTAATTCTGTTTTAGATTAGAAATTCAAGAATTCACAAAAAATCCATTATTTAGGAGCATTCATAATAAACTATCAAAACTGAGGATATTTTAGTGAAACACGATAATCTCTTAGTTGGAACTTAGAATCCTTGAAAATTTGAAAATCAATAAGATTCCTGTATGAGGATCTTATTTTAGTGTATCAAACAATGCATCCTAAATGAGTTAATACAGCCAAAAAAACCTAACAAGCAACCTCCATATGGACGTTAATACTCAATTTTATTCCAGGTGCTCTAGTTTATCAATTCTTTACAAATAAGCGTGACTCGGATGCTTGTTCAAAAAAGTGAAAAAGGCAGTAGCCTTTATTTTGATGCGTCATAATGCTAAAAAAGTTCCAAAATTTTATGCCATGGCTAAGATTGGGTTCGTTTTGTAACTTTAAATTGCATTACCCCCGACCACATTTTTTTTGCATTGACAAAAAAGTGAAATCGGCGTAGAAACTTTAACATCTAAGTTTCAGAAACCAACCTATAGCTTTCTCCTTTGCAGCAAACAATCTTTAATCCCGAGGCTGCCAAACACTGTGACACATCTCGAACCTTAAATCCACTTTTTTTACATCATTCCTACGTGCAATGATGTAGTCAATGGTCAGCCACCCACAACTTTTAAAATAATTATTTAAACAGTAATGGAATAAGGTTATTTCAGCATATTTTAAAAAGTAATTTTGAACAATATATAATAGAGAGAACTACCAAATAAGCCCTCGAACTTATATAAAAAGTGCAAATCACACTTTATATAAGGGCCTTTGTCCGGCCGTCGCTATTTGGGACGGTACCCGATGGAATTTTTTGATGAATTTTTTTGAACATCTTATTCATTAAGTCTAGTTTACTCATACCAAATTTCAGCTAAAAATTCAACCGGAAAGGCGGTCAAATGATTTTCTGAAGTATACGACGCTGTTTAACTGTGCAGTTATCTTCAAAAATTCATTTGACTGCCTCCCCGATTGAAATTTTAGCTGAAATTTGGTATGAGTAAACTAGACTTAATGAATAAGATGTTCAAAAAATTTCATCAAAAAATTCCACCGGAAACCGCGGCACATGGCGACGGCCGGATAGAGCCTCCGATATAAGGGGTGATTTGCACTTTTTATGTAAGTTCGAAGGTTTATTGGGTAGTTTTTCCATATATAATACAATGAGGCCGATGTCGACAAATGTGATGTTATGAATGTATTATTTTTAATAGTTGATGAGTAAATTGTAACGAAAAGTTCAAATTATTTCTTAATATAGAAATGAAAACTTTTAACTGGAACATCCAAGTGAGACAAGGGAGCTGGGACATTTCTCTTTCTTTAGCAAATTTAGTCCCATATTTATATATTAATCGATTAAGTCCGCAAAATCATATTTAATAATTAATATGTTGGGTAAGGAAATTGATTTATTTAAAGAGTAACAAAAGGGCTTTATGATTGATAACCGGGAAAGTGTGGCGGAATGGAAGAATAATAAACTTCCATAAAAAAAGTTTATAGAAGACAAAATCTGAGGCAATGGGGAAAGGGTAGCTAATATTTCTGGATAAGCTAAGCCGGCAAGGCAATCCTTGTTGAAAAAATAAATAAAGTATGAAGGTTTTAACTTTTCGGCTAGCATTCACATTTATATAAAGAATGGAAACGGATTTAGGCCAGAATAATTTGGGAGCAGGAAGGAATGTAAGTGTCTGAAAGAGTCTGCAAGGAAGAAGTGCAGAGAAATCCATGCCATGGCTGGTTTCAATTTGTCAAAATCCCACCCCCCTAATTTCACCCTCTCATCTTTCTTCTTCCTTCTTCTTCAAGCTTACTCCCCCATCTAAAATTCTTTTTCCATCTTCATCATTTTCACCACCATTTATAAGAAGAGGTTATTCTCACCATCAGGAAATCACCACTATTGCATTTGCATACAGTAAAAAAGTATCACATTTCCCAGGCTTTGCAGCTTCCTCCAATTCTCCGAAGAGGGAGTGCACTACAGGGCAAGACATCTAGGGTTCTTACTTCCAATTGGATTTCCTTTCCCACAAGCAAACAAATAACCAAAAAAAAAAAGTAAAATTGATTACCTTCCATAATAAAGCTATCAACGGCATAATTCTTTCTCTTCCCCTCTATGATGCTTCCCGCCAAAGCTAGCCAGGCCTTCTTGCTCTGTATCTTTTCTCTCTGCCCTTCCCTGATCAGCGCCACCTTCAACCTCACCCTCCCACACCAACACCCCTATCCTGAGGTGGTGGCTCAAGAAGTTCAAAGGTAATTCAAAAGCATTTTGATTACGCTTTAACAAATCTGGATTTCGCTCATTATAAGAACGGAGAATGCTTGGTGTACACCATTCACACCTACAAAATTATCTGTATACAAACAATTTTGTCTCACAAAATGTGCGAATGATGTACACAGATCATTTTTCTAAGAACACTGTACTTTTCAAATGACAGCTGAATCCGCAGCCATTTTTGTTCATCTATATACTTCTGCATTTCTAGTTTTTGTAGTTTTTCCAAATCATATGTCAATTTCTCATCAGTGAAATTGTACTCGAATTGGGACCTACTGCAGTCCTATCCAGTTTACTAATCCATTCCGTTAAATTCCATACGCATTTAATCAAATAGTTTGTGTGCTATGTACAGGAGAGTTAATGAATCTGTGACGAGGAGAAGACTATTGGCAGGGACGACAGAGAAAGACGAATGCCTTACCGGAAACCCGATCGACGACTGCTGGAAGTGCGACCCTGACTGGTCAAACAACCGCCAGAAACTGGCGGACTGCGCGATTGGGTTCGGCGTAGGCGCGATGGGCGGAAAAGGGGGGAGATTCTACCTGGTCTCCGACTCGTCGGATCTAGACGTCATGAACCCGAAACAGGGGACTCTCCGTCACGCGGTGATCCAAACGGAGCCGCTCTGGATCGTATTCTCAGCGGACATGACGATCAACCTGAAACACGAGCTGATCTTCAACAGCTACAAGACGGTCGACGGCCGCGGCGCGAACGTGCACATCACCGGAAACGGCTGCATAACTATACAGTACATCACCAACGTCATCATCCACAACGTCCACATATACCACTGCCTTCCGTCGGGGAACGTTCAAATACGGTCGAGTCCGACGCACGTCGGGTGGAGGGGGAGATCGGACGGCGACGGCATATCCATATTCAGCTCGACGAAAATCTGGATTGACCACTGCGATCTGTCGAACTGCACGGATGGGCTGATCGACGTGATAATGGGGTCCACCGCGATCACCATCTCCAATAGCTACTTTACCCACCACGACGAGGTCATGCTGCTGGGTCACGTTGATGGGAACGTGCCCGACTCCGGAATGCAGGTTAGCCTTTCTTTTTTGAAAGTTTACTTTTTCACTCAAAAATGTACTTTTTCATGCCATTCTCTGAAACTTTAAAAAGGTAGTTGGCCGTTATGTCAAAAAATTTAAATAGAGGTTTTTATTCTTATTCTACTGTCATTCACTAAATTAGAATTATAATTTGTCTAATTGTTATTTTAACAAATATCATACATTATTTAAAAAAAATCCGCTCCCCAATATTACTATGTTCTTTCAATTTGTGATGAAATGGTAATTAAAATAGAGCCAATGATAAAAATGTGAAATTTTATACGCAACGATGATAATAATTTTTTTTATTATGATTATATTCATATACACACGTTATGACCGCAATGACATCCTGATAGTAAATTTGGACTTAAGAAAAAACTTATGTTTTGATATGCATGGTTATTCAACTACACAACTCAAGTTTAATGGATGACATAATGTTCATAATATTTTGAGACTAATGTAATTATAATAAAAGTTAATCAATCATATCCTAGGGCTAACCGAGCATTCCAGCCCAGCTGGTTGTGAGATTACCGTGTCTAGTGGAAGGTTTCGAGTTCGAAACCTGCTAGGCACATAAGAGTTCGAAACTTAGTTGAGTGAGTTTCAACCCTGATTACTCCAGACCCCCAACCCCCTCCCCAGGCCCCCTAGAGTAAAAAAATAAACCTAGAGCTAATGAATATTTGGATTCGCTGCATGCGGGAATCTTATTCGGTTTACCAAGCTAAAAGGTTGTAAACGCATAACCCACACGATTGGGTGCAAATGTGCAATCTTACGTATTAAGAAAAGAAAAAAGAACTTCAAATTTGATATACATAATTACGACTATTTAAGCGCTATTACTAAAGGAAATTACTAACACACAAAAAATGATAATGACATATTTAATCTTAATAAAAGATTAAAACCAGACAATTTCTAATTAGATCGACCTATTTTATGAAAATCATAATGATTGCCGTCTTTAAAAAAATATTCTCTCCATCCCTAAAAACTTTGTCATTTTTTAATTTTTTGATCAATCAAGTTCAACTTTGATCAATTATATACTTTATAGAAAATTATTTATAATATAAAAATGATATGGGTATATTCTTTCTCAAAAGTACTTCCATAATAGTATAATATTTATATTTTGAAATATTATACTAATCACAATTGTAGTCTAAATTCTTGAAAAGTAAAAGATTGACAAAATTTTAAGGGACAAAAGTAGTACTATTTTATACGGAGTATTATACTAGTGTATATAGTTCTATATATTTAGGAGTTACCTAAAAAGACATTCACACCATTGCGTTTTTATTTGTATATTTGTTGAGGTATATAAAAATGTGTTTATTTGCAACAATAAAAATGTTGTTTAAAAGCCCGTTTTATGACATCCGGTTGAATGTAGTGATATAACTTAAATGGCTCGATATGTGTGGAATTGAGATTTTTTTTTGAATAAAATATGGAGTATTCATTCAATAGAGTAATTGAAATGCATAGGGAAAAAGTTAAAAAATATCTTCACCAAATTTAAGTGCAATCTTAGAGCCCGTTTGGTAGCACGAAAACCGGTTTTTTTTGGCTGATTCTGCTGAAATTAATGAAGTTCTAGCTGAAGTGGCTGCATTGGCTGATTCTACCGATTTAAGAAAAAATTATTTTTAAAATATTGATAGTATTTTGTAAATAAAATAAAGAAAAAATTATATGTAAAAATAGTTAAAATGGTCATCTACAGTAAATTCAGCCAATACAGCCAAAAAGTAACTTCAACCTTACTTTTTCTGCTTATTACCCAATTCAGCGGGCGAAAGGAAAAATCATGTGTTTGGTGATGGCTGATAAGCCTGATAAGCCAAAAAACAGTTTTGCCCTCCTCTTATTGATTGTTTCACAATTCAATGTGCTAAGTAAGGATTTAGGCGTTGATAGAAAAGTGATCTGAACTTATAAAGGCCATTTAGATATAATTTGATGTCAAAGTCTATCTACATATATGTGGAGAAATATACTCGTTCTTTATATGAAGGGGTGTGTGGATGGAGTGACTAATTTTAGCATTGAAGGTGACAATAGCGTTCAATCACTTTGGGGAAGGATGCGTGCAAAGAATGCCGAGGTGCCGAAGAGGATACATTCACGTGGTCAACAATGACTACACCGAGTGGCAAATGTATGCCATCGGCGGTAGCGATCACCCCACCATCAACAGCCAAGGCAACCGCTATGTTGCACCCCTTGACGTCAACGCAAAAGAGGTACATACGGTACTTAATTATGTATGTAGTCTATGGTATTAGATTTTTTAGTATCGTAATTTATGTTGGTTTCTGTTATTACTTGCATAGTCTATGCTGGTTCTATAACCATTAAATGTATTCATGCTAAGGACTTTTTTCACTGAATTGTACAATATCTGTCCGGGGCTTTTACTGAAATTTGTTCCTTTTAGTGAAAAATTCTCAATTACATGACATGATCTACAACTAATTACACGGTACATACAAGACTAGCTCAACAAATATCCTTATGCTCACGTAAATCTTCTAGATTTTTAGTGTATTTGGTACCGATATGGCGATATTTTAAACATTATACACCGTATTGAAGTAGATTTGATTTTTCATTTTAATTTTTTCCTTTCTGATTTTATGACCTTCATCTCAACTATTAGTAACAAATGCATTGAAAGTAGAGTTGTTATGCGAAACAAGGTCAGCTTGAACTCGACTCATACAGCTCGAGTTTGACTCAATTATTCAAGAATAGTTGAGCTCAAACGCCGTGTGCTACTCGATTAGATTCATGAGCCAACCCAACTTGACTCGATAGGCCCGATAAGGCTCGTGGTGGGCTTATGAATAGGAGATAAATGACATTCCACAACTTACATTCAATAGATTTACAAGGTTATTTTCGAGGTCGAGGGTATTAGGTATCTTAACGAATCGAGTACAAACATTAAATGACACTAAACCAGCTGAGTTCAAGCATCCATCCAGGATAAATTAATTCTTAACGACCTCGAGCTCGAGCTAGCCAGGATCGAAGTATGCTCGAGTCGAGATCGAATTTGTGAAACCCCGCTTCAATTCTTCCCATACTTTTCCCTTTCTTTTAACCCGGCGCATGGCTGTTTTTAATTTCCATGAGGTAATTAGAGAAAAGACTCGCAGAACATAATGGTATTCTTTTGTATTTATTCTTTGTCAAGAGAACTTGTTAAGACACGGGATTCCATCCTAAAAGGTCAACCTGTTACGAGGAGTAACCCGAAGCTTAATATAGCACTCTAATGCTTCTCAATTTTCCGGTGTGGGACATTTAACAGAACTACCATTCACCAATCCATCGACTATTAGGATAACCGTGATATAATTAAATATCAAACCGTAGATATTGACTATGATCCTTGATTAACGCCTCCATCAACTCGATCTCTCTATCAATATTCTTCGTGATTAATTAGCTATCTTAATCTACAAGATAATATTCTTCTGACGATTGCTGTACGAAAAATTCAAAGTGGACAAAATGAGGAATATAATCCGAATAATAGAAATTCACATAAGGACGATATATGCCTTGGTTCCTTAAAACTACTCCTTTGTGATGATGCTTAATGTCGACAAAAAGAGAACTCGGGTTTTAAACGTAACGTAATACGTAGTATTTCTTTTCTCCTTTTCAAATTTTTGTTTTGTTTCACTCCATATTACTCCCTCTGTCCCCTTTTAAATGTCCCGTTTTACCATATTTGGATGTCCCTATTTTATTGTCCCATACCTTATTTGGTATACTTTGTGTGGCTCAAAATCATTCTTACTTTATTTTTACTTTATCAATTAATATCAACCACACAAACTCATTTTTCTTAAAACCCGTGCCACCATCTCCAGTCCCATTTAAAAGGGGACGGAGGAGTATATAATAAACCAGGGTCTTATGTAGTCTCTCCCTCCCTATTTAAAAGTGGTTTTTTTAATTACACACAATTTTAAGAATATTGCACTCTTTGATATTGTTTGGACACTGTTTGACATAGTTTTAAGAAACGAATCGAAAATGAAAGCGAGATATTTATTTTGGGACGGAGGGAGTACTACGTAATATACACCTATCATTTTTTGAATTTATACTCCATATCTTTTTATCCACGTCACCATTTGTTCTTTTTATTTCTTTACAAAAATACCAACAAATTCAATGACACCATCATCTCGAAAAGATTTGTCTCTTTTCTTAGTGTAAACTTTGAATAATGATTTTAATTATTACATAATATATTATATGTAAGTAACAACTAACAAGATACAGATAAACAATTCGAGCTACTCTTCCATTTACATGTGTCCGCTTCCTCCATTTCAAAATAGTGTTTGCGTTGGATTTGCTATGCTTAAGGATGTTGTTTTCTTATGGACTGAAATTTGCTGGTCTGGTCTGGTCTGATCTGGTCCGGTCTAGTCCGGGAAACGTCTGGTCTCTGTGTATTTTCTAACTACAGAAGTCTGGTCTGGTCTGATCTGGTCTGGTCTGGTCTGGGACTGAAAACAGTCCAAAAGAAAACATTCTAATTGGGAATAAAGGTAATTTATAATACTTATATACTTAGAAACACTACTAAGACCTATAATTCTACATTTCTACATTAAGGATGTTTTCATTTGGACCGTTTACAGTTGTGACCATACGAGAACAGATCAGACCTGACTGAATCAGATCAGATTAGACTCCATATGTACTCCGTATAAAATACACAAAAATCAGACATTTACCAGGCCAGACCAATTCAAACCAGACCAGATCAATAAGTTTCAGTCCAAAAAAAACATCCTAACTACCAAAAAACTCTTTTGACTATGAGAAGAAAACTCTTTTGACCATGAGGAGTATTGAAGTAATACACAAAATTAATTAGTGAATAAAAGATATGAGTCGACTGCTTAATCGTGCACGATTTTGTAGAAGACAGTATTTGAGCATTGTGCAATACCCATTCACTCCCAGCTCTTTGATCACGACTCCGCGAAGTATGTAGACTAGAAGTCTGAAATAAAAGGCAGAAAAAAATCAACCAATTAATTAGGCCTTGTTAAGAAAAAAAAAGTTAATGGATACATCTATGAATTACCACAATAAAGTTGAAACTAAAGAGGGTATTACCACAGTAATTAATGGAGGACTGCTTTTATACTTTACCTTTTTAATTTAAGTGAAAACTTGTAATAAAGTGCTAGCTAATGCGATTCTTTTGTGGAATTGAAAGATATCAGATTGCTTAAAAATTGATATAGACTTTGACATCAAATTATAGCTAAATGATTAATAAAAACGATTTGTGATATCATCTAACCAATCACTTAATTGATATGAATAGATGCACTCTCTTTTTCATTTTGAATAAATGCACTCTCATTACTAATTTACTACGTATAATATAGAATAGGGTAAGATATAAATCATGTAAGTCTAGTCTTTTAATTCATTGTTAAATGGACGTTGTTAGAGAGTGTGCAAATTTTAGAGGTGAACAACTTAAAAATAAATTTACAGGATAAAGAAAGAGACACTATATGTATAGAGACTCAGCTCTAAGCATAATCAAATCTCTTAAATTTTTTTACTTGGATTATTTTAAGTTCCAAAACAGACAAGTCTAGAACATAGCAAATCAAAGAATAAATTCCACTTTTAGTTCCACGAGTTTCTGGTCAATTCCACATTTAGTCCACATCTTTCACTTTGTCAACTTTTGGTATATGACTATTGTGTTTTTGCCCATAAATGATCTTTCCGGCATTGTTTCCGATGATTAAAATTGCCAGGAAAGGACCACAAATGGTTAAGAAACATTAGTCAAGTACTAAAAGTGGACAAAGTGAAAGACGTGGACTAAAAGTGGAATTGACACAAAACTCGTAGGACCAAAAGTGGAATTACTTCGCAAATCAAATTAGATCAAACTTCCTTAATTACTTGATATGCAATAGTTACCACAATAGACCATATCGGAATTTTTATGTTCAATAAAAAACATTCTTACGTGATACTCTCTCCGTCCCTTATAACTTTGCCAACTTTCCTTTTTTGGATGTCCCATTAACTTTGCCACTTTCCCATTTAAGTAAAAAATTTGTGGTTCCAGTTAATTCTCTCTCCTCTGCACAAACCTCAACCACACGATTTTTACTTTATTAATCTTCGTGCCGGTCAAACTTAACAAAGTTATTAGGGACGGAGGGAGTATGCAATAGTGGTTTTTAAAACGTTACTAAATGTTATTAAATGATCCCTACTCATTAATTAATATAAGTGTTCACTTTTGTTTACGAATACCTACTCCTAATGTACCTCCGGGACATCCAATAAAATTGGAAGTTTTGGAACGCTATATATAAGATTAACATGATCCCTGCTCAAAGATGACACACAAGAAAACAACCCCGTATTAAATTAGTTATATTTATATATATTTTTCAAAACTTTTAATTTTCTGAGATTTTTGCAAGGAGGCTGAATTTGAGTTGATATAAGCTTTTTAAATGACATTGTGAAATATTTAAGTCAAAATTTTATTCTCATTGTGATAATATTTTTCATCCCTTAATATATATATTATTAGCTATACATTATGACATTTATCACAAATTCTAAGTCATATTTATGTGAAATAGTTTGTCTTCGAAATAGTATATCTGACACGAAGATTAGATTAATGAATTTAATTTTGTTGAATGGGTGCATTGAAGGTGACAAAGCGGGTTGAGACAGACGAAACGGAGTGGCAAAAATGGGATTGGAGAACGGAGGGGGACATGTTGGTCAACGGAGCTTTCTTCGTTCCCTCCGGCGACGGTCTCAGCAACGAGTACACCAAGGCCTCCAGTTTCGACCCTCACTCCGTCCTTTTCATCGGCCAACTCACCGGTAACGCCGGCGTCCTCCCTGCACCTCCCACCAGGTTTGCTTCCTCTTTTCCGCTCCATATTTCGTTTCCCATGAGTCAATCCTACAAAATTCCATCATAAATAATAACTCACATTTTACAAATAATAATTCCTACTTGAAATGTATATAACAATGATCCCAGATAAAATTAGTTGTTGAACAAAAATGAATCGAGTGCTAACGGTGTTAATTTTTCTTTTAATTTTTTTAAATATAATGAAAGCGTTAATAATGTACTCGAGTTTAATCTTATTTCGATATATTATAAATTTAATTTAATCTTCAATAATTTTCATAAATATAATAGAAATATTTCAACACATACTCTATTCTTTATCAATATTTTGTTTAAATTCATTTTCATAATTCTTTATAATAGACATTTCAAAGTAATTAGTAATACTACATCATATCAAATATCAATACAACGTATTAGTTCAAAATTATACTTTAATGAATCAATTAGAGTATTAGACCTTTGCCAAATCAGACAAGATTTAAATGGACTAGGACATATATACTTAAAAAATCAGATTGGATTATATCATACTAGAAATTTCAATCTTAGGGCTCGTTTGATTCCAATACACACAAAATTGACTGCATGTAAAATTTAGAGATTGAGACAATCACTTTGCAGGAAAAATAGAAATATATAAAGACATTTATTTTTAGGTGAGTAATTTTTTTTGGATGAATTTAAATTCATTAATCTAATCTTTGTGTCCGATATACTATTTCGAAGACAAACTATTTCACATAAATATGACTTAGAATTTGTGATAAATGTCATAATGTATAGCTAATATATATATATTAAGGGATGAAAAATATTATCACAATGAGAAGAAAAATATGACTTAAATATTTCACAATGTCATTTGATGAGTAATTTATTTTTTAATTGCATGCGGAGTCACTGTAGTGCTATATAAAGACATTCAAAACATTCCACGTGTGAAATATTTTAAAAAGTGGCATACAATTCCATTAACAATCGAACCAAATTAAATAATGTAAATTATTTAGGATCCTACATGTTGCATGTGAAGTCATTATTTCACAATTAATTTGCCAAACGCACTAAGTGAAAGCATCTTTCTTTTGGTCGATTGCAAAATCACATTTCCTATATATAAAAAAAAAAACTTAACATATACTATCACTATACATTACCTTCACCTCAGATTAAGGTTTGCACTAAAAATTTATACGAATTTTTTGGCAATACCTAAATAATTCAATGTAATTTGAATGTATTTTGAGAAGTAATATGAAAGGATATATATTAGGGTAATTGTTTATAATTGTGATGTTAATGGTGCATTATTTTATATTGGTAATTAAATTTTTATCTAAAAGTGTTGTTTATTCCTAAAATATAAAAGAATATATTTAAATGAAACGATTAAAAAAGATAGGTAAGCATCTCGATTTATTTAGGACGGAAATAGTACCTTGAAAAATGAAATGATATGTGATTTATTATATGCAAGTTACTAAGTACTAATATTCTCAAGGAATAACAGAACGCCTCTATCTTTTGTTAGCCGGACAACCATTGGCGGAAATAGTAACGGCAGTGGTCGAACAACAACGGGTGCTAACGGAAATGGCTACGTGAGGCCCACCACCAATATTGATCACCCAATCGGATGGTTCGATTATAACGGGGCTCCACGTGTCACATCTCCTCCTCCTATTGCAACCACCATTTTCTTCTTCCCTCTTCTACTTATTTTATACAATTTGTAGTAATCATCCACCAGTGTTTTATGGATTGTTACCATAAAATTTAAGAAAAGAAAATGAAATTTTGTCCGGAATGGGACTCACCTTTTTGTACATATTTAGTATAATGCCCAGCTTGCATTCACACATGTAATATTAATTTACAATTATACTTGTAATTGTTATTTTTTTGTTCTATAAATAAATAGATTACAGCTACTGCATTATAAATGTGAATATCGAAAAATAAATAGATTACAGCTCACACATGTAGTATTTTTTTTTTGGGCAGTTTGAGACCACTTTGTACACAGTTGGGCTGCTCATATATACAGCCGGGTTTTATTTTGATGGAGTCCATGGACCTCACATATTATACAAGTTGTTTTAATTAATTTTCGGAGTCAATAATTTAAGTGGTCTGTTAGTTTTTTTTTAAAATCAATTAATCAAACCCGAGATAAAATAATCTGCTGCACGTTGAAGGCCCAAATCAACACCCTTCATTGTCAAAATTAAAGGAAAGAGAATGTGGGGCGTGTGGAAAATGGCATTTCATCTAGAAATAGCAGTTTGATCATTTTTAGCGTTTTCAATGAGTGAAGACGCTTTTTTTGTATGTAGTAGTTGTTCAACCCGTTTTTGGACGAAATTGTTTAAATGGAAACACTGCAAATAGCAACGTTTTGGATTAGCATTTTGAAATAGGTCATTTCCTATTAATTGCTATAGCTAAATTATCAAATACGGAGTATCTTTTAACAAACTGTTAATTAATTTTCACTAGTCAAACTCGTTGATTGAATCAATTAACAATCCGTTAGCGTAATCCGCAATCCGTTTATCACTAAATGCCTAACACACCCTACATGATAGTTGGTAAGTAATTCAGTTTGATGCTAATTAAAATTGCTATGGGGAGCAATAAAGAAATAATTACATAAATATGACCAAAATAAAGATGGTTTACAAAAATATGATTCATTACTAGAGTAAGGTTTGGAGCGGCTCGCATTGATCTTGGCTCATATTATTTCTCTCCCCCAAAACATGGTCAAATTAATTTTGAAATATTGACTAAAATAAGACTATGGGCTATTGAATAGACAAAATGTAATCTTATTTTATAAAGGAAAAAAGAGACTAAATAGATTTGAACATACGAAATTACCCCTAACATAAATACTAGAGTAGTAATGAAATCATAGTAATTCATGTTCAAGTTTTGAACTTTAGTTACCACAGCACTACGATGTAGTAATGAATAGTCATATTTATGTAAATAAGTTTTATTTTAGTAATATTCTCGTAAAAAACCCAGCAATAAAATATTAATAAGGTTTGGAAATGGTTTAGACTTTAGAGCAAGTCTTTTACTCTTTTTACCGGTCTTCAACAATTAAGAGTATTAATTCAGTTGAGCCCACCCGTATTAAAAATTAAGGTTTGGAGCGGCTCGCATTGATCTTGGCTCATATTATTTCTCTCCCCCAAAACATGGTCAAATTAATTTTGAAATATTGACTAAAATAAGACTATGGGCTATTGAATAGACAAAATGTAATCTTATTTTATAAAGGAAAAAAGAGACTAAATAGATTTGAACATACGAAATTACCCCTAACATAAATACTAAAACCAAAATCCTTGATACGAACCCGCCGTTCTGCTCAACTGGTCGATGATGGGTCCCTTCATCCCTACTCTCTTCCCATCCGTTCTTCCAAACTTTGGTGGCGATGGTGGAGAGCAGCAACAGTAGTGAGCGACGACATATGGCAGTGGCCAATCTTGCTAAGGATAGCTATGGGCGTTCGGCTAATTATAAGTCAGGCGTTGATCATGTTAGATGGTGACAATGATGAGCGATGTGAATCCACCTAGGGTTTGTTAGACAAAGGCAGCGGCGGGTAGTCGTCAAAGCCAAATGATGGAGAATTTATCTATTTTTTGTGTGTTAGCAGGGTTGGTGGGGGCTAGGCTAGGACTAGGGAGGGGTGGGTCTGGGCTGAGCAAGAGAGGGGTAGGAGTTGATGTGTGGTGGTGTCAAAGGGGCAGGGGACTGGGGTGATGCATGCAGGGGAGAGGGTTGGGTTAGGTAGGAGGTTAGGCGAGGCAAGGAGTTGGGGTGACGCGGGGGAGGGGACAAGGTGAGGCAAGAGTATGGGGCAACATATAGGAGGAGGCTGCTAGAGGCAAGGGGTGGTGTCATGTGCCGGACCTATCCGGAGACGCCAATAACCGCCATACAGTCTAGTTAAGTCAACCACGGTTAAACTTACCCAAATCATACAAAGGACACGATTCAAGTTGCATATGAAAGCCAACTTCAAGGGATACAAATCATGTGAAGCCACCATTGAGAAAATATGATAGGAGCAAGGTGAAAACAGACGATGAAGTTAGATAAGCTCTGTTGCGATTTCAGAATGCCACCTTCCACCATTTTATTCATATCTCTTGATTGGATGATTCAAATCCAATTCGGCAATTGTGGTGGATAGAGGAACTCATCATATACAACTTTCGTGAAGGAAGCGTTGTCAAATTCGGAAGTTAAGTGGGCACGATCGTGTAATCAAAGTTAGGCACGATCGTGCGTGAAGAGAAAGCACCGCGGAGCTACTGCCAGTCAGGCACGATCGTGCGTGGGGGGAGGCACGATCGTGCGTGGGGGGAGGCACGACTGTGCCTGCCCAAAACACACGATTTTGCTCCGGAGGCACGGTCAAAGGCACGGTCGTGCCTGGCACCGTGCCTGCCTCAATCCCGATTTGAGCCAAATTTTGACTGCTTTCTATAAATAAGGCCTCCATACTCATATTTTGGGGTTACGAACATTACAGAGAGGCATACGAACGATTTTATCTGCGTTTTTACATTTGTTTACTCCAAGACCCTGTGATTATTTGTAAGTTCATCTTTTTAATTAATGACAATTAATTCTATTCTTCCTAATTGTGTTGATTCTTCAATTATGAATTGTGAGTAGTTTAATTAGGGATTTGGGGTTGTTGAAGGAGTTGATCATGATGTATGGCTAGATTCTTGATGGTTTAATTGCATAAATGCCGTTTAATCTGTGTTTGAATAATTTAATTGATATCTCTTGTAACCTAGACTGCAGCTAGAATTACAATTGCATGTAGAATAAATTAAGAGAGATCTAATTTGTTCTAGAACACATTCACACACACTTAATCGTTCGCCAAGAAATTAGTAGCGATTAAGGGGCCGTAAGCTCGCTCGTCTTAGCAATAATTTAGGATCCTATCGCATGAGAGACCAGCCTGGTTCCCTAAATTATTGTATTCTACGCCGCGAGAGCGGTAAGAACTTAGTAATGATTAGCTAGGCTCAATTAAATTAATTTCATGTAATTAGGTCTGATCTGCCAGAAATCTTGTTACCCCCGGAATCAATCCCTGTTTCCTTCGTCATTAATTAGAGAGAACCCATTTATTTTAATCGTTTAGTTGCAGTTTAATTTTCCTTTCCAATCATATCTCGCACGACGCATTTATTTTATTTCTTTCTTTTAATAGCTGAATTTAATTAATTATTGATTCCCTTTTGTCCGTCCCTGTGGAGACGATACTCGTACTTACACCACTATATTACGATCTATTTTAAGTGCGAGAAAACTCACATCAACAAGACTCTCAAATAGGGTGATAGTATAATCTAGGCCGTAACCCTAAGTTACTCCATTTTAAATCATACATACTTATATAAAGTAAAGTAATGAGCCTATGTGTCCGTTTTGATTTAAACAACCCACTCCCACCGCCATGCGATAATTAACAATAAAGAATCATATGTAATGCCCAACAATAATGCATATGATGCACCTGTACGGCTGTACATGTTGCCCATCAATAATGCATACAATGGCACTTCATTGTATTGCCCAACAATAATTTATTACTACAAAATCATATATCTTGCCCCAACAAAAATGCATATGATGCATCCGTATGTGTTGCCCAGCAATAATGCATACGCTATCACACCTCGCGTTACTAAAAAACAATTCATCACAACACATTCATTAACACATCCTATGTCTACAAGTTGCCATAATAGTCAATCCACCTAGGGTCATGCCCAAGGACTGCCCATAGGTTGGTTCAAGCTTCATACTCTACCAATTATCAATTTGGCCACATTGAAGTACATTCAAACATAAATCATACAATCCAAACTTTGTGATCAATTCTATCAACAATTATTAACAATCTTTAGCTAGTAACTTAATACTACTAAGATTATTTTTATCAAATTCAAGTATTCATATATGTGTATTCCACCATACCTAGGAATACCTGGCAAATACACTACTGGTCATTTTCAATATATAAATACTCATTTACATATCACATAATCCATTCACGAGAGTTCATAAATAGCTCAATTAAGACTACATCATTTATATAATTCCAATTCGTAGATGAATTCGTTCATAGGCAAGTATAACCATATTTTATCATACTTTAGGCATCATAATTGAAGAAAAATCATAATTTAGGAATTTAGGTAATCTCATGCTTAACCTACAAGTTATAAACAATTAGATGTCGATCCTAACCTTAAATGAGCTCTAAACTGTCCTCTTTCAATCCAATGAACAAAACTCCGGTCAAGGAAGATTGAACACTGGTTTCTTGCTTACAAATGGTAGCTAGATGACCTCCTCCAAGTGATGGTCCGTCCTTTAGCAAAAGATATGAAAACAATCCCCTAGAAAGGGTGTTTTCCGGCGACTTCACCTCCTCTTGTGTTTATCCTTTCTCTTGGGGCTGTAAACTCTTTGCCTTCTTCAGAATTGCACCTTGTCTGAAAGATCTTTTCACTAACTTTACAAAGAATCCTCAATCAACTAAATTGAATGAGTGATGCTCAAGATATAGGGTAAGCAGTTCCAAGACTTGCACTGTGCGAGTTAGCTCGCTGCAATCCTCTCTACATCTCTCCTTTGTTTGTGTGAGCTCTTTTTCTTCTCCAAGACCAAGGATTTCATATGGATGCTCCTAGACCTCTCTAACACCGCTCCCTAATGTTATCTAATTCCTATGGTGTGGAAATAAGGGCATGTGGGCTGGTTGGCCAAAATCTCTCCTAATCATGTTAGAGGAGGGTCCCTTTGCTTGTACCAATTGTCTTGTGCAGCCCCCTGTTAATTCAGTCCACTCAAAATAATGGTTCAAACTTATTTTCTTTGTGTTGCAAGTACTCAAGTCACATGGGATGCTCCCCTATTGGTCCTAAATAATTTGGGAGTAAATAGCTACCAATACTTTCAAAAACGGAAGAATGAGTCCTATTATTTTGTCCTTTTGTCATGTGATGTCTTTTTGTACTCATTCGAATTTATTTAGACAAAGTCAACCATTACATCATATTATTGGTCTGTAATATGTTTAGGATGGTCCCAACCACTATTCTAAAAATCGCTATAGGCACCCGACTAGTCCTTGCTTAGGCGCTAGGCGGTGGCCAGATGCCACGATTTTCCTAGACGCTCCGACTAATTGGTTTGACACCTAGTTGAACTAGTTGAATTAGTCGGCTGTCTAGGGTGCCTAGTTGCTCGCCCAGAGCGCCTAATCTCCGCCTAGGCCGGCGTCTAGATTCGCCGAACAATTTTTTATTTTTAAAATTTTATTTTGTAAGAGATAAATATACCGTACCTTTAACTTTAATCACAAATATGAGGAAGGATACATGTAAATTAAGATAATAACTATATGTGTTTGTATAAATACTTAAATATTATTATTATTATTATTATTATTATTATTATTTACGTAGTAATATTATAACATAATGCAATTAATCATATATTATTGCATGTTACAATTCTATCATTCATGCATGTTAATGTGTGTGTACATATTTTTCATACACACAAACATGATACTACAGTGATTGCGATTCTCCCTCGCTTACCTTATTAGCTTACCTTCAGCCCGAAAACCCAGGTTAAAGTGACGGTCACGCGCCGTCCGCCTTGGCAGGATCCTTTGATCGTCTGTCTTGGCCCTACAATAGGAGTTGAAGGTTTTAGGAGTATTTTACAGTTATATCAACTAATTTAGCTGTGCTAGCTCTGTAACTGTACCAATGGCACCAAAGGCGTCCAAGGCCGAGAAGAAGATCTCTTATGACGAGAAGCTCTGCCAATTTCTGGATGAGTACACCCAGATATTGATTGTTGTGGCTGATAACGTCGGAAGCAATCAGCTCCAGAACATTAGGAAGGGTCTTAGGGGCGATTCCGTTGTGATGATGGGTAAGAACACTATGATCAATCGGAGTATTCGAGTTCACGCTGAGAAAACGGGAAACACTGCAATCCTCAACCTCATCCCTTTGTTGGTTGGAAATGTTGGACTGATCTTCACCAAGGGTGATTTGAAAGAAGTGAGTGAGGAGGTTTCCAAATACAAGGTTGGTGCTCCTGCTCGTGTTGGGTTGGTTGCCCCAATTGATGTTGTGGTCCCTCCAGGAAACACTGGTCTTGACCCATCCCAGACCTCTTTCTTCCAAGTGCTTAATATCCCAACAAAGATTAACAAGGGTACCGTTGAAATCATGACCCCTGTTAATCTCATCAAGAAGGGTGAAAAAGTAGGATCTTCTGAGGCTGCCCTTCTGGCAAAGCTTGGAATTAGGCCGTTTTCATATGGCCTTGTTGTGAATTTCGTGTATGAAAATGGTTCTGTCTTTAACCCGGAGGTCCTTGATTTGACTGAAGATGATCTGATCGAAAAGTTTGCTTTGGGTGTTTCTATGGTCACATCGCTTTCACTGGCTATCTCTTACCCAACATTGGCGGCTGCTCCTCACATTCTCATCAATGGATACAAGAATATCCTTTCTGTTGCTGTTGAGACTGATTATTCTTTCCCAATGGCTGATAAAGTGAAGGAGTATCTTAAGGACCCTTCCAAGTTTGCTGTTGCTACTGCTTCTGTTTCCTCAACCGCTGCTGGTTCCACTCCTGCAGCTTCTGCTGAAGAGAAGAAGAAAGAAGAGCCTGAGGAAGAGTCCGATGAGGACATGGGCCTCGATCTCTTTGGTTAAAATTTGGTCCCTTGGTTTTATCATGGCTAGGCTTGAATAGTTGAATTAGCTTATTGTTTTGGTCATGCCTTGAGTTGGTTATAACGTTTTGTTCAAGTTTTGTTTTGTTTTTAAATTTTATTTAGAATTCAGCAACAGGATTTTCTCATCAATTTAATTCATTTCCTTGTTTGGTTAAAAAAAAAAAAAACATGATACTACAGTTTTACTATCTATTACTTATCATATTTATGCAAAAATATTCATAAAAATACAATTTATGTGTTTCCGACTAGTCTCCGCCTAGGCGCCTATACGCTAGGCGCTCAGCCCGACTGGTGCCTAGCGCCTTTTAGAGCATTGGCCCCATCAATTCATATGATGTACAATTATAGGAGAAGAACCTTACTTTCTTAATTTAGCTCAATAATTATGAAAGTAGGATCATAGGAGTTTGTTTTTGTCTCTAAGGATTTTCTAACTCCTTTGTTCGTATACATGAATGATTTCAGCCCTCCTAATATATATTTAGAGGCTATAACACATGTGGGCTACCCTCAAATGTGTTCAGAGTATCCCTTTCTATTAAACTTGATATTTTTAGCAAGTTGAGTCCAAAGTAATTCTTAAACTGCCCAACCATCCAAATGGCTCATGAACTCCTGTTTATATTATAGTGGACTCCTATAACTAATTAATGACCCAATTAAGTATTTGGAAATCCATCCTTATAATACGGGCCTAATAAATAGTTTAATTAATCATTTATCAATTAAATCATTAATCATTTATTACATGATTAATAATACTCCGTAATAGAGAGTTCAAATACATGGAATAGATTTCAAATCAAAGTTTCAAGTACATTGGGTGCTGTATCACAGTTGGATTGTGTCGTTTGCAGTGGTGGTCACTAGGAGTGGTGATCGGCGGCAATCATTATCAGAACCGAGTAACCATCTTACTATTTTAAATCTACAACTTTAGCTTCTACGGATGTTGTTAACTGGATTGAAACTTCCTGGTCTGGCTTAATATGGTCTGATCTAGTCTGATTTATTTAAATATAGTCTCATGTGATTTGGTATATATTTGTTCTATTTATATTCTACAATCATTAAAGGTTGGTCTGATCTAGTTTGATCTGATATGATCTAGTCTACTCCAATCTAGTTTGGGAGTGAAAGCAATTAAGAACATCTTAGATTCATTTTTCTTGAAGAAGGTAAAAGCAAAGCATAATTTCGGAGTTTTTACACACTTTGAATTCTTAATCTTTGTTTTGAGATTGGATTTAGGAGGAATGAGTAATATGTAAACATAAGGTAAGCCGGCACTTCTTGATGAAAAGGAAAAAGTATGAATTGTTCGAACTTTTCATCCTTCGTGTTCACATGTATATAAAGAATTGAAGGAAAACATGATGAACCCAACCCAGAATAAAATGGGGGCAAGCAAGGAATGTAAATGGCTGAAGGAGTCTGCAAGGAAGAAGTGCATAGAAATCCATGACATGGATGCTGTCAATTTGTCAATTTTCCACCCTCCTAAATTTCACACTTCCACTCTCCCTCATTTCTTCTTCTTCAAATGTACTCCACCTCCTTCTATCCAATAAATAAAATTCTTTTTACACTGTCAAAATATGAATTGAATGAGATTAGTTTCATCATCAAGGAAAGTAATTACTATTATATACTGTAAGTAAGCATCAAAGTTTCCTAGATATTGCATTAAAGACAGGCAAGACATCTTACTTTGCATTAATATTAAGGTAGGGGCATATTTTATCTTTTCCACTGGCCAAAAAATTACTATAGCAACAAAAGTTAAAAACCTTCCATAATAACCGCATGGCTTTCTGTCTTGTGATGATAATGATGATGATGCTTCCTGGCAGAGCTAGCTGTGCTTTTTTGATTCTTATCTGGTTATCTCTGTCTTCTTCCCTTGCCACCTTCAACCTCTCCCACCCTCATCAACACCCCTTTCCTGATATGGTAGCTCAAGAAGTTCAGAGGTAATTAAATTAAAAAGCTTTCTGATCAGGCTTTAAACAATCTGGATTTAGCACATTTTGAGTGTTTTGTGTTTTTTTTCGAACAACTTATGGTCTTATATACCATATACTTCTCTGCATTCCTATTTTTGCCCCAGTTGTTTGTCAACTTCCTTAAGGAGCGAGGGGTGTTTTTTTAAAAAGAAAATGGCTTATATTAAGATCATACTACGTATAATCCAACCCAACAACAAAACCAGACACAGTAGACAAAAATGAACGACAAGAAAACATTACTCGATCATACGCCTGCGAGAGGTGTTTATTAGCTAGATTTCTCTTGAAAAGATAGGGAAAAGATAAAGAAAACTCGTTTACTAATCCGTTATCCAATTTGTAAAACACAAAAACAAGAAGATATTTTTTAACTATCTACCTTTAGAAAACCGCAAAATATATTTTCATGTTTAAAAATAGATGTTCAATCTCGGTCAGGTGTGGCTTGAGAGTTTCATCCAATATGGTGATTCCTCCACCATTCTAGTGTCGGGGTATGATAACGCTTGGGAGTTGGGACGGAGGATTCCACCTTTTAGGTTGAGTTAAAATACTTTCTGATAGGGGTGTGTATATTGATTCAGATGAGCCGAACCGTACCAAAACGAACTAACTCGAATCGAAACCGAAACATATGCCTTTGGTTTGAATTTGGTAGCATATCTTCCCAACTCTATTAAACCGAACCGAAACCGAAAAAAATCGAATATAACCGAATCAAACTATAAAATTCAATAAATCCTTCATATATTATTAATTAACAAATCCAAATCAAACTAAACTACACCGAACCAAACTGAAGTTTAGTACAAAGTATGATTTTTGTTTGATACTCATTTCTCCTATCTATATCAAATCGAACTGAAATGGATATGTCCGTTCCTATTTCCTGATATGTAGCTCATAAACAAAGTACGACCTAGGGCTGGGTCCGAAAAACCGAAAACCGAAAACCGAATCAAATTAAATCGAACCGCAACCAAATAAAACCGAACCGCTAAGAAACCGAAACCGAATGTAAAAAACCGAACCGAACCGAAGTTGTTTGGTTCGGTTTTGGTTTTTACCCTTCAAAACCGAACCGAACCGAACAAACCGAACTATTTAAAATATGAAATTTATAATTTAATTGTGAAGCATTAATTCTAATTAATCTTAATACCATCAATAGTCTTTGGGTTTCTTGTGTTAGAGAAATAATGTTTGTGTTATGTTTAATTTAATTTAGTTTATAAATTCATTTACACATTCATTGTTTGTAATAATGTAGCTATATTGAATGATGATAATATGTATTTACTAGTTATTAGTAGTAATTATCTCTTTTTAGATAACTTAAAGATTTTATATTGATAAAACAATAAATATTCATCTCAACTATATCACATAGAAGTATACAATGTATATATTCATGAACTTTTTTCGAACTACTCACAAACAAATTAAATCTATAATATATACAGTTTTATTTATCTCGCATACTCATATAATTCAAGACATATTTATCTCTTCTCATCTTTATTTTATTATATGTGTCGTTGTATTGTGCTTGCATTCTTTATGTAATATGTTTGATCCCTCTAAGTATTATATCAATTTTGAATCAAGTGATAATTTTTTGGTAAAAAACCGAAAAAACTGAAACCGAACCGAAACAAACCGAACCAATCAAACCGTGGTTTCAAGTTTTGGAGTGTAAAACCGAACCGAAACCGAACCGAACTTTTTACTTTGATTCTATATTTGGTTTTAGGTCAAAACTGAACCGCAAGAACCGAACCCACCCCTAGTACGACCTCCCATCTCAGATTTGTATGACCCTCGGGACCACTAATTCATGAGAACAATTTCTACTCTTCCACGGATCCACCATTAATCGTGACTTTGCCACAAGGTTATCTTAATTTTTTAGGGAAAGGTCATGTGCTAATTTAAAATTGTTAGTCCTTGCAGGGTAAAAAATGACAAAAGTTGTACAATACCAATTTATTTAAGTAAGTATATGATACAAATGTTACCATGTTCATATTTTCAAAGTAAAAAACTACAATTTAAAAAAAAAGATTGTACACCTTTATATAATAAATTGAGGCTACAATTCTTACCGAAATGCTTCGTAAACACGCCGGTCAAATTATTCGTGTACAAACAATTTGACCGGCGTCTACAAATGACGCTTACAAATAGCATGCATTAATGCAAATTTATATACGTAGTAGAATGTTTTTGTACTAGCTCTGCTGGTGCCTTTGCCCCTAAGACCCTGACCACTTTCATTGACCATATACCATTTTATGAATTGGTCACCACACAATAATTATTCGGAAAAATAATTTTCCAAATTTTAAAGTGAAATACAGAGTATAAAACTTGAAAAAGAAGGTGGACTTAGAGGACACCGGGTTTCTTAAAATGGGAGATACTATTTTATCAGGTACAAGTGGAGTACCCCGAAGGCATGAAGATTGTATTAGTGTATTACCATTCACCAAGACAAGATGATGCGCCGCAGATTTTGCCACCACTCGCATGATGCACAGCAGCCCAAGTTCGATTCACATTCGTGACAAAATACTTCTATAACGTTATGGAGTCCATTTGGTAATTTGAAATTGACTCAATGTATTGTAATTATAGAATTCTAGATGAGAAGTCATTAAAAAGTTGATCGATAAGACTGACAAACTTAAAATAGGAGTTAACCTAGGTTATTGCAGGTTTAGTTTTTAATCAACCTCATTTGTTTATATTTTTGGAAAAATAACTAAGGTTGTTAGTAAATTTAGGTTCACTTCACATAACTTCCGAAAACTTGTGAAAACCCAAATTTGAAGAACCTTCAAATTTGGGGGTATTGGAGGTTATGTCCTCGTATAAAAAAAATCTCATTCATTCCAATAATAACTCTTGTCACATTTCACTCAGCTCACCTTATTCACACGATTATTCTCCCTCAAATTCCTTTTATTTACACGTTTATCTCCCGCCACATTCAATCACCCGCCAACTTCATAGCAATATCAGACCAAGTTTTTGTCTTTCGGCCTTACTTCTCGGTTGTAGTCTCAATTGTAATTTACACATTCTTTATTTGTCAAGTAAACCTTTTTAATATTTATTATCATAAATAAGATCATTATGGCTTAGCCGAATCGATACTTCCACTACAACTACGTATTCAATTGTTGTTGTAGTCTCAATCACAAATTCATGATTCGTTGCTTTTACTTTCTTATACCAAAGCTCGCGTGGAGCGTTAACGATATCCATGCACTTATACATATGAAGGGTATAAATGTCATTAATGAGTTAGAGCACCTGCATCCAAACAATAATTTATTACACTAATCTAGGTTCACCTAAATTGTTTCCAAATGACATTTTACATTTTTTTTTTGCACAAATGACATTTTACATATGCACCTAGGTTACGTTCACCTAGTTTTTATCAAAACCTGAGTTTACTATGTTACCACTAGGTTTACTTGGATGTTTTCTTTTGGACTGTTTTCAGTCCCAGACTAGACCAGACCAGACTTGACTTTCGTAGTTATAAAATACACAGAGACTAGACGTTTACCAGACCAGTTTAGACCAGATCAGACCAGACCGGACCAGCAAATTTCAGTCCACACTACCCAAAATAAGTCTCGAAATGTCAAACATGTTCAAGTCAAAAGCTTGAGAGTTTTGTGTAAAAATCTGGCAACAACAAAAAATTGAGTGTGTTACTCTACCACTAATATCATGTTTTAACTAATATCATGTTTTAACTAAGATATTACTCTACCACTAATATCTTGTGTAATTCCCATTTTCATATACTCCCTACGTTCCCCAATTAAGTTTTCCCTTTTCTTTTTGGATAGTCTCTGAATTAAGTTCTCATTTCATTATTTGACAAATTAACTACATCAAAACAGTGCAAAATAGTGTCCAAACAGTATCAAAACAGTGTCAAAACATTAAAGTTTACCCCACAGTAAATTTTTTCCCTTAATAAATGTAAAAAGCAATGGGTAACTTAATTTATGTTTGCGATTGATCAAAATCTTTTAGGACTTGTTATTGTTGTATCATGTTGTAGCTAAGAATTTAATTAAACCCGGATTTAACAAGTTGGATTTGTTTGGCATTATACAAATTCCGACACAATTATTTTCGAGTAATTTTCTGGTAGCATCTTTTTTTGGATTTGGGAAGTAATTTGACAAATAGTTGGTGCGCTGTAAACAGGAGACTTCACGAATCCGTGACGAGGAGAAGAGTCTTAGAGGCGACGACACAGACCCAGCCATGCCTTACCGGAAACCCGATAGATGACTGCTGGAAATGCGACTCCAACTGGGCAAACAACCGCCAGAGACTGGCGGATTGCGGCATTGGGTTCGGGAAAGCGGCGATCGGCGGTAAAGGGGGGCAATTCTACACCGTCTCCGACCCATCGGACAACCCCTCGAAGCCGACGCAGGGAACTCTCCGCCACGCTGTGATCCAGAACGAGCCGCTCTGGATCATATTCGCGGCCGACATGACCATCAAACTCAAAGCGCAGCTGGTCTTCAACAGCTTCAAGACCGTGGACGGTCGCGGAGCCGCCGTGCACGTCACCGGGAACGGCTGCATAACCATAAAAAATGCGACGAACATCATCATCCACAACATCTTCGTCCACGGCTGCCTTCCGTCGTCGAATGAAATCATATGCTCGACTCCCACGAAATGTGGGAGTCGAGGCAGAGCGGACGGCGACGGGATCACCGTGCGTAGCTCGAGCCTGATCTGGATCGACCACTGCGATTTGTCGAGTTGTACGGACGGCTTGCTTGATGTCACCAGGGGATCCACCGCCGTGACAATATCCAATTGCTACTTTTCCCACCACGACAAGGTCATGCTGCTCGGTCACACAAATGGGTTCTTGGCTGATTCCCATATGCAGGTACATTATTCACTTTTCACAAAAATGCATGCATCACTTTGGAGGGAGTGTAATCCAAAGTGTCATTTGACAAGTATTAATAAAGTTATTGAAAAAGTAAAAATTGTTGTTGAATTTTGAGTATAGTAAAATTAAATCTCGTGAACCACAACTTTCTTTTGAAAAAAGGAAAATGTGACATTTATTTTGGGACAACCCAATTAGTAAAATAAGACAGGTAAAATGAGAAGGAGGAAGTATATGTTATATATATTGATAATTTGACATCACCGTGCATTTTTGTCGAAGCTGACAAAAATATGGTGATATTACATACTTTGTGTATAATTTAATCTATATGACCAGGAATGGATTTAGGGGGGCATGGAGGCGACCTCCCTTGGGTTTTCAAAACATTGTATTATACAGGCCATATTTTCATAAAATTATTTTTCTTTAAATACATATATATGCTCCCCCCCCCCCCCCCCCCTTTAATACTTAATAGGCATTGTATAAGAAGAAAAATATAAAATTGTTAATCTTAATGAAATGTTTTTGTTAAGTTCAATTTTTTCTTTGTGAACATTAGTAATGCTATTAATTTCTATAATTGAATAAATAAATTATAGAAGAACACATTGAGTTATAATTTATGGTACTTATTCTATGAACAGACAATGTTAAGTTTAATTTATACTATGTATTTAATTGATAAAAATTACTGGATTTTATAAATTATCAAGCAATATTAAAAAATGTATTAGACACTAATTAAATAGTTTTTAGATAATTAGGAGTAAATAAAAAATAGAAATGCTTTTGTGATATTAAAATTACACTCATTTAGTTTCTAAATTTGTAAAAAGAATTTATTTCATATTTAATAAAATCTGAAACATTCTAGCAAACATACAAATACATTTTGCACAAACACTATGAGTTAACAATATAGTATTATTCTAAAAATTAATAATCGCATAAATAATGGTAAAATTCAAAAGACTCATTGTGGCTTCTAACGGTCATGTTAAACAAAAAAAGCTTAGCTTAAGAGTTTTATTCCTATACTCCTCAAGAGTTGTTACACCGATGCACCTCAGTTGGCCGCCGCTCGAATGCAGCATCCTTTTCGACATACTTTAATAAGAGTTTTATTCATTATTTTAATAAGAGTTCTTCAACTAAACAAGGCATAAATTATTAAAAAAATAGAGGTAGATTTGCACCCGAGAGGCGCACTTTATGTTAAAAAAACTTGATAAAAATTTAAGTTAGTTTTAATGTACCAATACCTTTTTATAGCGATTCAATTAAAAATCTAAGTTGATTTTCTCGTTGTACCTGAAAATTTAGAGTATGAAAATTTTTAAATGTTGGGTAAACGCTAATGATTTTTTTTGAATAAAAACTAGGCAAAGTGTTATGCTAAATAAAAAAATTTGCTCCCTTGATCATAATCCAGGATCCGTCCCTATATATGACTTTTTAAAAAGTATGCTTTAGAAAATGATGGACGAGAACAAATAGAGTAAATAATTTTTTTGGTAAAAAGAGTAATTAATTTTGACAATGAAGGTGACAGTGGCCTTTAATCACTTTGGAGAAGGATGTGTGCAAAGAATGCCAAGATGTCGAAGAGGATATTTTCATGTGGTGAACAATGACTACACGGAATGGAAAATGTACGCCATCGGCGGTAGTGATAATCCCACTATCAACAGCCAAGGCAACCGCTTTATCGCACCTAATGAGGATGAATTCAAAGAGGTAGTCCATACTACGCACATAATTACTTAATCATTGCATTACTTGATTATCACTCCATAATGAATACAATGTTAACGATGTGTCAGAGACACATCGTTAACACAAATAATTGATCAACTTTAATTTTTTTACCCTAAGGGAGTCAGGGGTAGTGGGCTGGGTGGAGCCTGCGTAAATAGGGTTAAAACTTCCTCCATCAAGTTTCAAACACGAGACCTTTGTATGATAGAGTGAGTCGGCGACCTGTTGAATTGGACCACTTTCTCAACGATCAATATTTTATGAAAAGGCAATACCAAATAGAAGTTTAAGAATTTGTATCACTAGGGGATACTAGATACAAAAAGTGGTCTTGAGGTATTTCACAATTAACAATAAGCAATTCACTGATAGGCGATTGTCAATGGGTTTGTAAGAGTAGTACTTTCCAATAAATATGTATTAAATATTCTACATAAATTGCTCAAGATATTTTATCAAAATATAATGGTACGTAATACTTCGTATTATGTTTCGATAATTATTTTTTATGCTATACTCAGGGACGGAGCCACATATAAGGGTGTGGTGTCAATTGACACCACTCAAATAGTTTTTGTAATTATATATATAGAGGTATATTTTTAAAAAATTAATTTGACACCGCCTATATAAATGGAATGATTATCAATTGACACAACTCAAATATTTTTTGTAGTTATATACAAAGGTATATTTTCTAAAACTCAATTTGACACCACCAATATTAACGAAATGAGGGTCAAAATATAAAAATATATTTATATATACTCCCTCCGTATTTTTTTTGTTTGCTACATTAGGTGTTGGCACACTTTTTAAGAGTGAAGTAGTAGGGGTAATGAATAGTGAAGAAAAGGTACGAGAGATGGTGGAAAAGTATGAAAGAGAAGATAAAAAGTAGAAAAAGTATGGGTAGATGAGTATTTTTAAAGGAAAAACTTACCAAAAAGGGAAAATGTAGCAAATTTTTGAATACATCCAAAAAAGGAAAGTGTAACAAACAAAAAAATACGGAGGGAGTATATGAAATAATTACATATTTATAACTACAATAAAAGTTATTTATAAAAAGTGATGTTTTAAGTGTAGTGACTACATTAGAAACTTTAGTTATAATAACTTTACTTCAATTTTACACTTATGTGACCATGACACCGTACTATAGTACTACATACTCCGTAACTTTTAGTGATATTTTTGTAAATAAATAAGTTTATTTTAGAAATATTTTTGAAAAGTCTAATATTTATTTAACTAAAACAAAATTACACGTAATAAAATCTAGTCATAGTTAATATATTTTACACAATTCAATAATTGATGCACTATAATATTTATTCAAGACAAATATAACGATTCTTAAATTTAAAACTTGACAACAAACTATGATTAAGGTCACAAATGAAAGAATTGGCACATTATAATGTTGACAATAAATTTAGATACGATCATGTGTGACATAAAAAACTAGATAGTCATTCTCTCACACATGTAATATTTGATGAATTTATTATCGTAGTGTTACTTTATTATTTAGCTATATTAAAAATTGTTATTAATAAAGTGCTTGAAAGTACCCACGATGGGAAAAATAAACAATATTCAAAGGGAACACAATATTAGATAATACTGAAACTATCACCACTTAAGAATAGTAAAACAAAGTATAGAAATAATCAATTCACCCCCACCTATTTAAATATATATACAAAGTCAAATAAATATATAAGAGATCAAATACAAACCCCCCCATAAAAGGTTGTACATGCACAGTGGTATTTTGGTATTAAAACCAAAACATTGGCTCAAATAATTGGAAAAAAATGTATGATCATAAACAAAGTTTTTAATATTGTGTCATAGAAGTAGAATTTAGTTTAAAAATTTGACATCACTCGATCAAGAGAATCGTTGTCTCCATCACCGGCTATATTTGTTCATATATAGTCGGTGAATAAATATTCTTGATACGCTAGTGATTAGAAGTCTATATTAGTGATTGGATGAATGAATTTTGTGTTTGTTTTGTGGTTGGGCGGGCGGGCATGACCGATGAAGGTCACAAAGCGGATAGATACAAACGAAGCTGAGTGGAAAGGATGGAATTGGAGGACACAGGGGGACATGTTGGTCAACGGAGCGGTCTTCGTCCCATCCGGCGACGGTCTGAGCAACGTCTTTACCCAAGCCTCCAGCCTCGACCCTCACTCTGTCCTTTTCATGGACCAGCTCATCACCCACGTCGGTGTCCTCCCTCTTCCCGCGGGGTACGTACATACTTACGTTTATTATATTATATTGCTCCCCTCTTATTTTTTAGTTAATCGGGAGCGTAGCTCACATGATAGAAAGAAAACGCCACAAGAGAGAGGTTCCGGGTTTAACTCTAAACAATGACTTGGAATGGAACTCACTCTCACTGTCTTTCCATCAGAATGAGATCAAAGCTCAACTCACATTTTCCAAGATAACTGTTCGGTTAGTTGTGGGGGCCCTCTGGGGTGGAGTGTCATCCTTTTTTATTTACTTAATTAATTACACTTACAACCTTAACCTAGGGGTGGGCAAACGGGTCTTGGAACCGCGGTCCGGTCCGGGTAATGGCGGTTCGGGTCCAAAACGGGCCGGTTCCATTTTTTGTTGCCATAAAACGGTCCGGGTAGGGTCGGGTAATTTTTTTTAAAGAACCGGACCGGTTCCAAAATTAAAAAATAATGGGTACCCGGCCCGGCCCGTTATATATATTGTATATTAATTTATTAATAGTTTTGTGATAATCGGTTTTGAAATAGTTTTGTTTCCTTTGCTAGAAGTATGATTTTAAATTGAGTTGCAATAACATCATTTTGTTTTCAAATTATTGATTAAATTTTTCATAAATATCATATTACTTTTTATTGTTATTGAGTTATTCCTTTCTATGGAGTTTAATTATTTGTTAAAAATGATTTTGTTATATATTTTTTATAATATTGTTCTTAAAATATATAAATTGTGTTTACCACCCACCATGTGTGTGTCAACTTTGGCTAATACTGAAAATTTAATTAAAAAAAGCAATCACTTATATTGGCTATGTTGCATATTTTTGGAATTTCTTTAGACAACATGTTTAAATACAAATGTTAGAAAATATGTATTTTGGCTATGTTGCATATTTTTAGAATTTCTTTAATTGTTTGAAACTTATATACATGAAATTATGGAGTATTGGACCCGTCGTTTGTGTTACGTGTGCACCACTATGTTGTTTTGAAACTTGCTAATGTCCTATATTATTGATTATTGATTTTTGGAACTTTGTGAGTTTTTACTAATTTTAAGACATGAGAATAGAAACCGTAAAACCCGGACCGGACCGACCCGTTTCAAACGGGCCGGGTAAGGTCCGGTTCCTATTTTGAAAATTGCAATACCCGGACCGGACCGAAGCGTACAATGGAACCGGCGGTTCCATTTTATTTTGCATTACCCGCCCCGACCCGCCCCGTGCCCAGCCCTACCTTAACCTATACAAATGTCGAAACATATCGACATATATAGAAAACATTAATTTATGGTTCATATAAAATGGTAAAAGTGAGATGCATATTATTGATTCCATTAGTAGTACTACTAATTCATTTTTTTCATTATATTTACGTAGTAATTTTGTTATCTAATTGGGAAGGTAGTATACCCTAAGGACCAGTCTGGTTGAGGGATTTTGAAGGAGAGGGAAGGGGAGGCCTGATTGTTTACTTTATTAATTATATAGTTATAGTAATAACCATATAATTAGTTAGGTGGTGTATTTTTATATACTATTTTTTCTTTATTTTGTCTCAATTTCTCTAAATGTAAAAATTATTTTAAATATAAATATGACACCTCCCCTTCCGTCTCCTCCGAAATCCCCCAATCAAACTGGCCCTAACAGATCACAACGGATTTAGTCTATTTTTATGTTTAAACAATTCTTCTTCATTAGTAATTTAGGATTTTTTACCCGCTAGCACGTGCATGCATCTATAATTTTTATGATGCTTTTGAAATAAGTTTTGTGTGTTTGGTTAGCAAACATATTGTATATGTTAAAACTATTTCAATAATTAAGCTTATTTAATAATCAGCACAAATAATATCATAAACTATATTAACGCCTTGCTTTAGCAGGAGCTTCTTTTTTACTAGGGGGTCGGGGAGGGGGGGCTGGGAGGTCTTGCATTTGTATGTTTTCAAAAAGAATAATGCTCATTTTTAACATAACTCTGAATTGAATGAAAATACATTGAAAAATTTCTGAATAATCTAAAAAAAATCGACATAATATTGTGACCATTTGAAATTACCACATTTTTTTTGAAAAAGCAATCTTAAATGAAATGAACCATGTAGCTAGATATGAAATGCAATTCAAGGGGTGAGTCTTGGATTCGAATCCTGGCAACTGCGATGAGATGTTACTACATAAAAATGCATAGAGCCTCTGCAAGTACTTGGGCCAGAGCCACACTCGTTATCTGCCAGCTTTGATCAAAATCCAATTTACATCCTCTCAGTTAATTGTTCGGCCGGTGTTGGGGTTTTCAGGGATGGAGTGTCATCCTTCTTTTTATGAAATGCAATTCATTTTACGTTACAATTGACATTCAACAGGAATAATCCGACGCCTGTACCTTCTTCTGGTGGGACAATACCCGTACCTTCTGATGGCGGGGCAACGCCTGTACCCTATGATGGTGGGACAATACCTGTACCTACGGATGGTGGGGCAACACCTCTACCTTACGGTGGTGACGGTGGTGGGACAACGCCCGAATCCTATGTTGGAGGAGGGACAACCAATGTAGAAGACTACCACGAGGGTAGCGCTTCATCTGCAGCATTATCTAGAGCTATTACAACCAATCTTTTCTTGTTGTCTCTTCTAATTATCCTAAACAATTTACCATAACCACCAACCGTGGTTAATTATGGTTTCCGATAATTAATAGGAAAAAAATAACAAAATAAATATGTATCATGCATGTCCCCACCTTACTGTACATAATTGATTATTGGAATTGATACTCCAAGCTAGAGACACTAAAAGCTAGGCTGGTCCTGAATGTTTTAATTGGATGTATGTCATGTTACTAAGTGGAAATGTGGAATTTACATTAGATTATATTTGATTAGCATAAATAGTGGTGAATCCGAACCCAACCTATTATTATATATGTACAGAGTAACAATTTTGAAAGGTACAGACATTATCGATATATGTTGTTATTCTCAAAATCTTATTTAGTCGGTTAGCAAAGTGAGCACAATTTGGTTTATGTAATTCTATATTCCAGCTAAATAGATGTTCTTTTGCGGTTTTGTTCGTGTTTTCGGTCCCGAAAACACTAGTAGTACTTAGGCTATATAATGTTATCTCCACTTCTAATTTGATTCAATAGTACAGTGTCTTAGTTTTGAGATGAATGTTTAAACTTGGATGCCGTATGAACCGATAGGAAGAAACATTGTTGTGTTAAATAAGAAAAATACATTACTATTGAAACCCCCATGCCCAAGTTTAATTTATACAATTTTGATTTTGATTGTTGTTATATATAACAAGTTGAAATAAAATTGTTTCATATTGTTTTTTAATAGAATACAAGACAAAAATATAATGATTTTGAAAAGAAGAATCACAACTGTGTTATATGAACTGTTTTATGATGTCCCCATTTCAGTTTACACATAAACTTGACAAATAAACTTGACACCATATGTTATTTTTACATCCGTTGTCCTTAAATGATGTCCTCATTTCAGTTTATGATGCATAATTGAGGATAAAGTTAACTATTTCCCAATAATATTTTGATAAGTACAAATAATTGAAACTTACATATTTAAAGGCTACATGAAAGTAATATTGAAATGCAAGACTTATTGAATCCCAAAACAAGTACGAACACTACAAAAAGAAGGGATTTTTGTGCCTATTAGTCATAGCTTGACATCAATTTTTGTCATTCCCTTGTGCCAAGTGACCCGAAACAAGGATTTTATCGTAGATTTGGCATGAGTCCATGGATTCTTGCAAAACTAGTGCTAAAAGTAATTTCCAAAGTTGTTTTGTCATAAAAAAATTAAAATTGAGCCGTGCAAAAATATTGTGTCAATGCATCACAAACTTGTGTCAAATCATCATTGTTTTTTTTTATATTGAAGTATTATAAAATAAAATGATATATAGTAGTATTTTATCTCAAAGTGAGCCGTGCAAAATGATATATTTCATTTGTTGTGTGACTTGCAGGGACGGTCACGATCCTAGTCATGGATCATACCATTCATACCTCATATCATTAATTTTTATGATACAAAACATACTTGGAATTCTAATATGAAAAAAATGGTGTAAGAACGATACCGACTTGAAATGAACTTCATTTTGGAATAATTATGATCTTATATTTCAAATGAATACAAATATTATTATTTTTTACGTCTTTTTCGGTTGGACATGGTCCTAGTTTTGAACGATATCTCAGACATCTAGTTTTAATGATACAAAAGATAATTAGAATTCTAATACAGAATCAGAAATGATGTAAGAATAACACGACTCTACACTACAAAAAAAATACTGAAATAGTCAAGGATTTTGTATGGGATGACAGTTCAAGAATTCCCTGACAATCGCTTTTGTAAGGGATTTTGTCATGGATTTAATCCCTGGCTCCAGCGCCTTGACAAAACCATTGTCAAGGATATTATATCTGCGACTTACTTTGCCAGGGATTTGTCAGAGATACTTCCGAAACAATAATTTTCCGGTCGCCGGCAAGGTTTGTCAATGATTCAAATCCCTGACATAGTTTTTAAAGCTGGATAAAATATAATTACCTAGTCAGGATAATTCCCAGACTAAATTCAAATACCGCCTTAGGAGGTGTTTACTTCGGTGCTAACCTAAGGGTTGTGGTTAGCAAGATCTAAACTCTAAGAGTATTGTTCAAAAACCATTATCATATTGAAGACAATGTGCCCATTTCAGTTATTAACCTAATACAATTATGCTCTTTAAGAGAAATCATATGCATCAAGTTTAGAGAATTACATTCTATAACAATATAGTGTGTAACTTTTTCAATTCAAAACTAAATGATACAAATACATCCAACAAAAGACCATTGGAATCATTACAATCTATTGCCCTTTTTAGCATGTTGTACAAGTTTTTGTTTGTTGTTTTTCTTTCAAATTTGATCCTGAAATTATATTTATCGAGATATGTTGATGCAATGATATTACACATTGCTAAAAGCTCACCATGCAAACCTACCTCATTTATCTCAATAATTCTTTGAGTGTAACTATTACACATTACTTGAGTTTATTAGCAATTTTGATTTTTTAGTTAACAGACAGTCATTTGATTTCGCCCATTTGATTTTTGTTGTTAAAAGACACTCATTTGATTTATTAATTTACTATAACCTTAATTTTCATAAAATAATAATATAAAATGTAGTCAAAGTAGAACATATGAATAGTGTAAAATTCAACATGTTGCGATTAAAAAGAGACGGAGGATAGTGTAACATATAAAAATTCTTTTATCTTTGAAGTTCGATCTGGATACGAGTGATACGATCACTTAAGATTATGATATTACTAAGATTCAACCATTTTCGGCGTGAAAAACAAAAATGTCGTCGGAATCAAATTTTTCGCCGGAAAGTGTACTTTTAAGTTGAAAACTGAAAAGACCTTAAAGTAGATATATTTATCAGTTAGGAGACAAAATCTGCAAGAAAGTAAATTAAAATTACAACAAAAAGCTTACTCTACAATTGAAGAAGGGGGACTGAGAGCATGGGTGAAAAGTCATAGCCGCTCTATTCACCCATGTTTTATAAATGGTATTCCTCATTTAATTTTCTTCTTTGCCTAAAGAATGTGTAAAAAGTGGTTTGGTGCTCGTATAAGCGGTGATTGGTTCCCTAGTGTGTCTAAGGTTGTTGTTATCATGTCAATTTTGATAGTCACTTTTGTTAAGATCAGACTAGGGTTCCATCCTAAAAGACTAACCTGATAGGAGTAACTCAAAGTCTTTTTTTTTTTGAAAATAAGTAGCCCAAAGTCTTATATAGAGTTTTATTGTTTTATAACTTTCCGGTGTGAGACAAATACTTTAACACGCCCACTCAGCCCGAACCGGACGAGACAATATCGGGGTGTATAAATGGGTCAAACAGACCCTTAACAAGCTACTCTTAATCATGAGTATTAAACAAGTAGTAATTATTTGAAAAAGTATATTCCTGTAGTTAAAAAAAATTGGTAGAACCCAAGTTCCCCACTTTTGTGATTTCTGATGAGCGGTTATGGTGAAAGATGGCTGCGCATGATTTATGCAAATTTATATCTTTTTCCGCAACCAGGTTTAATTTAGTATTCGTATGTTTTAATTTATATTTAATGTATGTTAACATTATGCATTGGTGACCTCTTATTTATTTCTATTAATGTGTATCTTATGTGGATAACATTACTGTTGAGGTTTATTCCTTCAATCCTTGGACCCAACACGTAAGCCCAAAGATTTCGAGTGGAGTGAGTGGATATCTAGCCCAACAACTATCAGATGGATCAGGAAAACAAAAGTAATAGCAGGCAATGTAAATAGGTATTATTAACTTCGTAATAACTCCCCTAAGTACAATCTACTTGCTAAAAAGGCACGTCGGCCGCTCGTCTTACAAGGCACTTAGAAATGCTGCGAGTAAGAATGCTGAAGCTAGTATGCTAAGAATAGAAAGTTGCCAACCCCTTACAATGAAATAAATGCTACTATTTATACCCGCCAATGGGCAGTTAGTCTTGATGATGTGGAGGATTTTTAGTGGCTGTGGCCCAACCACCAAATCTCCAGCATTAAATGCGCTTCCCGCCAGAATCTGGGTTCCCCGCCTAATTCCTGACCACGATCGTCTGGTAGAACCGGGGGCCGTTCGTCTGCGGCCCTTCCTGAGAACGTAACAATCTTTTGGGGCCTGGGCCATCTACGGAGATGGGCCTCGTCTGACGACGTTCGTCGGTTCGGGGGTAATTGGGCCGGACTCCTGTACGGGGCTATTTACCCAACACAAGTCCCCCACTTCTGATGTTCCAAGCGTGCGTGGGACATAAGGAAGTATGCTGTGCCTCCTGGAGGATGCCCGTCTTCCGTACTTGCCACGGGGAACTGGACGTACCTGATCGAAGGGCACCCCGAGTTGGGCGACCGCGGGTGGATCGAGGTGGCGGCTGGCGGCGAGACGGTGCGACTCCCGATGGGAAGTCATCATTACGCGTATCGCTTCCCCAGGTTGGATTCCCGCCAGGGTATGCTCCTCGCCACGTGTCGCTTCTTCATTCGTCCCCCCGGGGGTGCCTCCACTATAAATACCAGAAATCCCCTGATGTCTAGGGTTTCCGATTTCTGGCTTTTGCTTCCGAGTTCTCTTGCCGCTCTTCGAGTTTTTCATCGCAGCTTCCCGAGTCCATCTTCCAGTTTTTTAAAGGTAATTATTCCTCTTCACCCTTGCCCTTTCTTTTAGTGATGACTTCGATGGAGATCTCTTCAAGTTCGAGTTCTGGTTCTTCGGGCTCCGGCTCTGATTCCTCCTCCAATTCTGGCTCCCGTTCCTCCGGAAAAACCAGTGTTTCCGGCAACCCAGGTTCGGCGTCCACCGTAGGGACCATCCATGTCGATGGTGAGCAAGGCGCCGACATTCCCGAAGGTGCCATCGAGGCAGTGCCCCTGAATGAACGTGCGGCCGGGTATGATTCCGCAGATGAGGCTCAATCTGGCTCTGATCTGGAGGTGCACGATTTAGGTATCCCCATGGACGTGCAGAGGCACATCTGCAAGATTAAGAGTGTTTTAGAGCACCGACAGTCCCTCTCTAGCGTTGCCATGAACAAGATTGCTTCCTTCTTCCCCCATCCGTTCGTCTTTAGCCATAGCGGGGCTGAACATGCCATGCGGCGACGGGCGGGGATGATCATCCTGCATGTGGATTCCGTAGAGGCCGGTCTGCGGTTTCCCCTCCACCCCTTTTACGTGGAGTTCTTCAATTGCTACCAGGCGGTCCCGGCGCAGTTCATGCCCAACTCCTATAGGTTTATCTCCGCATTCCTCGTGCGCTGCTCGTCCGTGGAAGCCGATGTATCCCTGGATCTGTTTCACTACTTTTACCGGGTTACCCCGCAGAAT